CGTGTGCCCCGGGCGGGCCCCCGGCAGTCCCCCCCGCCAGTCACAGCCACGGCGGCGCGGGGCCGGCGTGAGTTTTAAGCCACCGAGTCCGGGACGCGAACCGCGGTCAACTATGTGGGAGTCCAGTGACATAGCCATTACACTAACTGCTGGTTCCCAGAAGCTGATCCTTTTAGGAAGGAATATGATAATTCATGAAGATATAGAAAAGATGAAGGGATGTTTTCTCCATGTCATAAGAAGCCAACCACAGGGACTAACAGTTGGTGTAATGGCTATGTTGCTGGACTCCCATGTAGTAGAAGGCAGTTAAGAGTCCTGGACTCAGTTACTTAAACTCACGCTGGGCGAGTGTGTCTGTATGCCCAAGATCCCAAGAGGAGAAGGGATTACAGAGTGGCCATCTCTCGGGGAGTGATTTCTCGCTGTCTATCTCTTTCCGGCGAGCACATGCAACCTATAGCAAAAAAAAAATCAAAAAAATTATAAGAAAAAAAGAAGCAGGACGAGCAGTGGTGTAATGGCTATGTCGCTGGACTCCCGTGTAGTTGACTGCAGTTTGAGTCCCAGACCCAGTGGCTTAAACTCATGCCAGGTGTGTGTGCATGCATGCCCAAGATCCCAAGAGGAGAATGGAGGAGAAGGGATTGTGGCATGGCCAAACTCCCTGGGGGGTGATTTCTCGCTTTCTATCTCTTTGTTTCTCTTTATCTTTCTAGCGAGCTCACATACCCTATAGCAAAAAAAAAAAAAAAAAAAGCTATCCACAGCTCAAAGTAGTCTTTGATAAGTTTTTGGTTTTGCCTTTTCTTTTTTTTTTTTTTTACAAAGAAAGACAAAACTTTACTTCTCAACATTTCTAAAGATTTAACTTACAAAGTACCAAATAAATACTAGTATTTCTCTGTATACATTTAAAACTAAAAATAATTTTTTTAATGTTTGACAAAAAAATTAATAATTATTTTTATTATTATTATTTTAATTTGACCAGAGAGAGAGAGAAAGGGAAAATGAGAATAAATGACTTCTCTTGCCTTAATACTCAGTCAGAAAGATACTTGCACATCCATGTTTATCGCAGCATTATTAAAAACTGGTAAGATATAGAATCAGCTTAAGTGTCCCACAACTGATGACTAGATTTTAAAAATGTGGCATATATACACTATGGAACACTACTTAGCCATAAAGAATGGCAAGACTCAGTCATTTGATTCAAAGTCCAGAAGTATAGGGGCTGGCAGGTGGTGGTGTGTCAATGATGGTCTCAAGTGGGGCTGACCATGGTTCAAGTCCTGGGCCTGCAGGTTGCTTTCTCACTCTCTCTTTTTTTTTTTTTTCTCTCTCTCTCTGGCCGAATTCAATAATAATAATAATAAATGAAATAAATAGTTCTCAAAATTTAAAAAAAGTGGATGAGTATAGAAGATTTAATGCTATGTGAAATAAACCAGATTTGTGAAAAGCAAACATTGCTTATGCCACTCAATATATACCAAATATTTGAATTCTATGGCAAAGATTGAAAAAATAAAAAGGAGGGCATATATAGATACCAGAGACTATAGGGGAAGAGGGGGATAGATGGGTGGGTTGAGTGAGAGAGGCTCAGAGAAAAAGCATTTACAGACACAAAAATATAAGTTTCTTTGCTGAAAATGATGTATATGGAAATATCCTAGATTTGATTATCATATACCACATGCATGCTTTGAAAAATGATATCATAGGGACCAGCAGTGGCATAATGGTTATGTTGCTGGACTCTCACATGGCCAACCACAGTTTGAGTCCTGGACCCAGAGGCTTGAAACTTGCACCAGGTGCATGTGCATGCATGCCCAAGATCCTGAGAGGAGAATGGAGGAGAAGGGATTGCAGTAGGGCCATTCCCTCTGTGGGAGAGGGTGATTTCTCACTTTCTGTCTCTCTGGCAAGCGCACACACCCTATAGCAAAATCTCTCTCAAAAGAAAAAAAAATATTGTACACCATAAAGATGTATGACAATTAAAAAACTATAAATTTTTTAAAAATAAAATGTAAGAAGGACCTAAGGCTTCTTAAACTAACATACAACTATCAAGAATCTAATGTTTCTCCTGTAAGACACTGGCAAAGGGGACTCATGGGGAAGAGGGAGAACTTGGAGAGGTTTCAAAGAGGCCGCTGGAGGAGGTTCTTTTCAAAGACTGACAAGACTCAATTAAAAATGTAAAGAAATTATTTTTGACATTCTCTGGCTATTACAGGAGTTCATCATCGATCTAAAATAAGGTTTCTTCCTGGTATAGGTCTGTACCTATGAACTTCTCAGACATTAGGGACATAGTCAAGGGGTTATGCTTGTGTTCTCTTTTGCCTTCTCATTTCTTTAGTGTGTAGAGAAGTTTAGAGCTAGAGGAAACTTTAGTCATCTTCTTGTCTCGGTCCTGAGACCCGGAAGGAATATATTTGCTATATATTCAAAGGACAAGGACAAGGACCCAGGTTTCCTCCTTCCTCCTTCTAGCTTCTCTGTTCTTTAGAAATAAGCTTGTGTTTAATCCAAGTATAAGTCAGAAAATTTGGGTTGTAATCTCTATTCACCTCACTCAGGGCTATGATAATAGAAGGTATGGCCACCTCTGCTCTTTGCCTCAATTTCTCTAAGCATGTAATAGAAAGCTGTATCCTAAGTTATGACAGAAATGCTCATGACATTTAAAAAAATAGTTTATAAATTGTTTCTTGTTTGCCATTAACAGCCCTTTAAATTATTTTACAATATTATTATCCCATGTTTGTTGTAAAAGCTTTCAGAAAAAGTGACTCCCTTCTCTATAAAAACATCAAGGCAATGTTGCAGGCTTATACTAACCAGAAAGAATATCACATACCTTGTCTTCCTTTGAATTCTCCATCTCTGCTCCCTCCTTGAACTTTGCCAGTGCACTCTTGAGGTCTTGAGATGTGTAGGTGTTTGTATTGATGTCCAGCCTGTCCAAAGAGATGCTGAGTTTCAGGAAGGAGGCATATTTCCTAAGAAAAAAGGTCTCTGTATGGTTGACACCCCAACATAAGCTAGGCCAGGCCAGCTCTAGCTGAGTATACTGTCATATCTTTGCTTTTGGTCAGCCAGGAATCCAAGAAAGTAACCTTATCTGAAGCTAAAGGAAGAAAGATACAGTTGTAGAGGGGTCATTTCACTGAATAGAAGGAAATGCATGGAGGAGACAGAAGCCTACCATGAAGAGTCCTGAGCTAGCTGCTCAGATAGAAACAAGTTTGGAATGTCTGTGCTTAAGTGGCTCACTCAGCGTATAAGAGGACAAAACCTCTGGGAACCAGCAGTTAGCGTAATGGCTATGTCGCTGGACTCCCATGAAGTCGACTGCAGTTCGTGTCCCTGACCCGGTGGCTTAAAACTCACGCCGGGTGCGTGTGCGTGCATGCCCAAGATCCCAAGAGGAGAATGGAGGAGAAGGGATTGCGGCGTGACCATCCCCCCTGGGGGGTGATTTCTTGCTTTCTGTCTTTCTGTCTGTCTCTGTCTGTCTGGCGAGCACACGCACCCTATAGCAAAAGCCTCTCAAAAAAAAAAAAAAAAACTCATGGAAGGCAGTGTTAATCGACACAGGGAGCAACATGTACTTTTATATATGTTTTTCTGGAAAAAGGGGCAACAGAAACCCATGCCTCCCACATGCATCTGACCTGATTTGAGTCACAACTTAAAACCAAGCTCTGAGCACAGAGAAGGGTCAGGAAGTATGTGTTAACCTAACAAAGCAATGGGTTAGAGACACCAAGGAGCAGAATCAAGACTCACCGCCCTCTACACCCAGCCCTCAGGGGAGGGAGGAAAGTAACTAACATGATGTAATTTTAGGGCTTCCCCCTTACCCCCACCAAAAAAAAAAAACTAGAGCAGTATCTTCACAAAGACCCTGGAGTTGATGTGAGTCATAGCCATTTTTTCTTGCGTGGAAAGAAGGCATCCATCTTGGGGCAAGGTTTTACTACTAGCACTCATTTCAGTTCAGTGAAAAGAGATTAAAAAAAAAAAAAGGGTGATATAAACAGAGGGAATTGTGGAATGTGTACTGTGCTTGAAAAGACTGTCCAGTTATGGATGAGTTAAAGATAACCCATGAGATTTCAGAGGTGGAGGAGGCAGGGACATTGGCCTTTTCTACTCTAGATCTGCTTATTAAGGCTTCGATTAGTCCTAGAGACTTTTTTTTTTTTTTTTTTAAGAATTATTAGGTCATCGGGAAAGTCATGATGGGTTTTTCTATGCAAAAATGAGTCATGGCTTTCATGACAACCTAATATTTATTTAATTATTTTTTTATTATTATTCTGTCTTAATTTGCTATAGGGCATATGAATCTACCAGAGACAGACAGAGAGAGAAGGAAAGCTACCAGGCCCAGGACTAGAAACACGGTTGGTCATGTGGAAGTCCAGCACCTCAACCACCACGCTACCTGCTAAACTCCCCTAGAGAGTTTTAGAACCCTGAGAAAAACATTTGCCTTTTCTAAGCCTCAGTCCTCCTAAACTAATTAATAATAGCTAATCACTGCCATTTATGGAACACCTAATCATTAGTCAGATAGTATGTTAATCTCTAAAAGAAATATTTCATTCAAATCATTACACGATCCTACAAAGTAGGGCAAAAAAATACTGAATCTCTCTCCCCACATAGTACCATCCACTGCCAAATGCATGATACTGCTGACACTGCCCTGCCACCACCCTAAGAGGAACCTAAGTATTGAGGAGCCATAGCAGGAACTGATTATCTCCTTCCTCCTCCAAGTCTCCTTTAGGACTAATCTCACCATGCCTTGTATCTCTGTTTATTGCCTTAATTCCACTTTCCCAGGCATCCATCATCAGCTGTTCTCAGCCCCAACCACATACACAGACTCACACACAAGTGCACACGTGCACACACATACAACCATCATCATCTGGTATTTTCATCTCATACTTCATTAAGAAAAATACATGTTATGAAGAACTTACTCATCTTTCTATATATCAACCTGTACTGAAACCTGTTTTCTACTTTCCCTTTTAAGGAAAATGAGAAACAATGTCCCTGTTCCTATGACTCTTCATGTTTCAGATACCTCTTGGCTTTACAAAAGCTTAAACTCCCATCATTTTCCTGCTCTTTCCTGTATATTATCAGTTTCTCCTTTCATTAGATTATTCTCATCAGCACAGCAACACTCTTTTGACCTTGTAGTGTTTTTCTAGTACCATTTCCTTGCTCCTAGCTAAAGTAAAATTTGATGAGCACATTGTCTTTACTCACTATCTCCACCTTCTTGACTCCTATTTACATTGCCATTTTCTCTATTCTGAATTCTGTACCAACTCCACTAAAACTGTTTATCAGAATCACAGATAACTCATGATCAAATCCAATGGTCCTTTCACCAATTTGATGTTCCTTGACTACATACAAGCAAGATTTATACAGTTCACTGCTTCCCTTCTTGAGACGCTCTCCTTACCTGGTTTCTGGTTAAGACACTCTTGGTTCTCGCCCTTTTTCACTCCTCTGCCAACTATTTTACTGGTTCCTCATCTCCCACCTGAACAGAGCCCCTGCCCTTAGGCCTCTATTCTCAAAACAGAGAGCTAAAGTGCTAGGAGGACACTGTGAAGAGGAATTAGAAGGGAAGGGGATGAGGTCTATCCCAGGAGGGGAAAGGGGAAAGTCACCCAAGGGGAGCCAGAGACTAAGATCAAAGCACTAAAGGCCCATATCACCTTGCCAATGCCCTTTTTTTTGGGGGGGGGGGGGGTTTTTTTTTTTTTTTTGCTACACAGAGCATGCGCTCACCAGAAAGAGAGAGACAGAGAAAGAAAGACAGAAAGCAAGAAATCACCCCCCAGGGAGAATGGCCATGCTGCAATCCCTTCTCCTCCATTCTCCTCCCGGGATCTTGGGCACGCACGCACACGCGCCTGGCGTGAGTTTAAGCCGCCGGGTACAGGACTCTAATCACTGTCGACTACATGGGAGTCTAGCGACATAGGCATTACACTAACTGCTGGTACGAAAAATTAACTGCTGGTTACCCCAATGCGTTTTTTTGGCTTCTGTTCAGATAGTTTTGCCACTGGCGTTTATAGCTGAAAAGGAAGAGAAAATGTCCACCATATACCAGAGGCCATCTGTCAAAGTTCTCAGAAAGACTCCAAAGGGGAAAAGTAAAGAGGCGAGAATAGAGACAAATATTTCTTCCTTATGGTGTATCCTTAGACCACATAAATGGCTCTGCTCTCTATCCTAAAAAGATAAGAACAATAAACTAAGTAGTAAGTGCTCCTATTGACAGTCCATGATCAGGTAGTAGAGCAGTGACTTCTCATGGTAAAAAACAAACAAAACAAACAAATTAATAAAGTTATTAATAAATTAAGAAAAAAAATCTACTTTTTATTTAGAAAATAAGATTTGGATTAGATGTGTAAAAAGAGGCTTTGAAAAACTCTTTGAAGCACTGAAATATTTATGTATGTGTGTGCTGGAGATGGAGAAGGTTGGCAGGGTCACATCAGGAGTATTTGATTATTTCTTAGATGGCTACGAGAAAGGAGCACTGCAGGTTTAGGCAAATCTGGAGAGAGGAGAAGATGAAAGATATTCCCCAGGGGCCAACAGGTGGCACAGTGGTTGAGGCTCTGGACTCCCACACAGCTGACCATGATTTGAGTCCCCAACCTGGCAGCCTGCTCTTACGTTTTCTTTCTGTTTCTCTCTGGTGAGTGTATTTGCTCTAAAACAAATTAAAAATAATAATGATAACGATAAATAAAACTCAATAAATAATCTAAAAAAGAAGAAAAGCTTCCCAATTTGGGGTGGTTATAAGGGGGACAAATATCTCTATCTCATTATAAAGTAATTTCAAGAAATGAAACTGCTCAAATCTAAACAGGCTGTTTTGTGAGGTGTTGAGTGATACCTGATTGAAAGTGAACATAGATGGGTTTAATCAACTTTTTTTTTTTTTTTACAATTAAAGTATGAATTTATTTTGGTAGAAAAACTTTTGAAATTCATACATAGTTTTCCCATTACACATATTTTCATGAGCTTTATTTTTCTGAAACATTTTAATTAATTAATTTGCATTCACTCCCTAAGCATCATCACAGCATACAAAACATGACTTCCCATCCAGAATATACTGCATAGTGGCTTAATCGTGCATGTTAATCATCAATAATTTTCCATTTCTAGTTTCATATATACATACACACACACACACACACACACACATATATATATATATTACCTCCTATTTCTGATCCTCTACACTTTCCCACCCTCCTCTCACACTATCTCTGGGTCTACAGTTGTTTTCCATTCCTTTTCCCCCCACATTTTAATGATCACACAATTTCTTAAATAATCTAACTACTTTCAATAGCAAGTTCAGCTGGTAATTTCAAGAAAAGCAGTTTTAACTTTAATAAATCAAAGAAATGCTAAGGAACTTTGCTTAAAACTTAAAGTCAGGAAACAGGTTGGGATTTTGTTCAAATAGTAGGTACATAAACCTATCAGCAGCTCAAGACAGGACAAAAATCCTTAAAACTGAACAACAAAGCCTAGAAGAAAATCAGCAATGTTTTAGTCAAAAGTCATAAAATGCTACATTTCACCAGTTCAGTCTCATGTCCTTAATCTATCTTCTGTTGTGGTCTGATCTTCCTGATTAAATTCTGGGATATATTGGGACCAGCAGTTAGCGTAATGGCTATGTCACTGGACTCCCACATAGTCAACCGCAGTTCGAGTCCCGGACCCAGCGGCTTAAACTCACGCCAGGCGTGTGTGCTTGTGTGCCCAAGATCCCGAGAGGAGAATGGAAGAGAAGGGATTGTGGTGTGGCCATCCCCCCGGGGGGTGATTTCTCGCTTTCTGTCTCTCGGTCTCTATCTGTCTTTCTGGTGAGCGCACGTGCCCTATAGCAAAAAAAAAAAAAAAAAA